CAGTTTGAACTGCAAGGTTGGCGGCTCAAGCTCACCAGCTGCTCCTTGGAAACCCTACACAGTGTCACTATGGGTCAGAGTCGACTCAACAGCATTTAACAACAACAACAACAGTGGCTAGTGATTGTGAACATGTCTTCTTAGATAACCCACATTTTAAGTTATGGTTTGTCTGTTTTGTTTGTTCAGAGATTCTGATAACTGTCTTACTATAAAATCAGTCCTTGACAAGAATGTTTTGTAGTCACTTTTTATTTTATTGCAACAAAATATTCCCAATGAGCCCTTTAAGTTGTTTGTACAAGTACCCAAGTGTTTTTCTACTTGTGTTTCATCTGGATATCACAGATTTTATCAAAATACGGTTAAGTAATGAGTACTAGATCTGTTGTTTCCAGTTTTCTAAGTATGTTGTTGTTGTTAAGTGCTGTAAAGTCAGTACTGACTCATAGTGGCCCTACATAGGGTTTCTTAGGAGCTGCTGGTGGGTTTGAATCACTGTCTTGGTGGTTAGCAGTCCAGTGCTTATCTTACAGCTCCAGACTGTTGTAAGCCCTCTTAAAAATTTCTTCCATTAAAATTGTCATTTTGTTGTTACTGATTTTAAAAACCCAAATAAGCAAACATTGTCCACATTCTGTAATCTTTTCACAAAGTAAAAAGAAAGTCTGTTTTTCTACTCATTTCCCACTCAGAAATGATAACTAACCATTCCATTTCCTGTGTGTATATGTGCACACACATTATTTGGGATGGTATGGTATAAATTTGGATTCAGGCTATACACATTTGTAGTTTTTTCAACATTAACAATTAGTATATGGCCATCATATATATATTGGAGTTCTGGTGTGGCACTGTGGGTTAATGTGCTGGCTCGAAAGTTCTGTGGTTCAAGCTCACCAGCTGCTCCTCAGAAGCCCTATATAGGAAGCCCTACTGATGAAGATCAAAGAGCACAGCCTTTGGTATGGATTGCATCTCAATGTAAAGAAAACAAAAATCCTCACTGCTGGACCAATAAACAACATTCTTATCAATGGAGAAAAGATTGAAGTTGTCAAGGACTTCATTCTTCTTGGATCAACTATCAACACTCATGGAAGCAGCAGTCAAGAAATCATATGACGTATTGCATTAGGCAAATCTGCTGCACAAGACCTTTTTAAAGTGTTGAAGAGCAAAGATGTCAGCTTGAGGACTAAGGTGTGCCTGACCCAAGCCATGGTATTTTCAATAACCTCATATGCATGCGAAAGCTGGACAGTGAATAAGGAAGACCATAGAAGAATTGATGCTTTTGAGTTATGATGTTGGAGGAGAATATTGAAAGTGCCATGGGCTGCCAAAAGAACCAACTGATCTGTGTTGGAAGAAGTGCAGCCAGAGGGCTCCTTGGAGGCCAAGATGGCCAAACTTCATCTCTCATACTTTGGACATATTGTCAGGGGGGCCAGTCGCTGGAGAAGGATATCATGTTTGGTAAGTTGGAGGGTCAGAGAAAAAGAGAAAGACCCCTAGCGAGATCTATTGGCGGAGTGGCAGCATCAGTGGACTCAAATGTGGCAACAGTAGTGAGGTTGGCCTGGGATCAGGCAGTGTTTCATTCTGCTGTGCATAAGGTCGCTATGAGTCGGTACCAACTAGATGGCACCTAACAACAACGAGTCAGAACTGACTGGACGGCACTTAACAACAACAATCATGGATATTGGAGTCCTGGTGTGGCATTGTAGGATAAGCACTGGACTGCTGAAAGGCTAGTGGTTCAAAACTCACCATTTGAACCTTGGAAACTCTATATAGGGTCACTGTGGGTTGGAACCAACTCAACAGCACTTAACAGAAACAGCATCATGGATATCCACCACTCATCTATAAGTTTGTGGTATTGTGGTCACTTGTATGTTGCTGTAATGCTGAAGCTATGCCATTGGTATTTTAAATACCAGGGTCACCTTAGTAGACAGATTTCAGCTGAGCTTCCAGCCTAAGAAAGACTAGGAATTAGTAGAGACTGATTGATTACTTCTGAATGTTAAGCCACTGCAAGCCTTATTAGTAACATTGGAACATTGTGAGATATAGTGCTGCTATGTGAAAATATGATGAATAGCACCTGAATATTGTCAGATATCGTGCCAGAAGATGAGCTTCTCAGCTGGAAGTCATTCAGAATTTCAGTGGGGAAGAACTGCCTCCTCAAAGTAGAGTTGACTGTGATGACATGAAAGGAGTAAAGTTTACAGGTCCTTCATTTGCTGATGGGATACAACTAAAATTAGGAAAAACAGCTGCAAACATCCATTAATAATTAGAACACAGAATGTATGAATTGTTAATTTAGGAAAATTGGAATATGTCAGAAATATAATGGAACACATAAACATCAGTATCCTAGGTATTTGTTAACTGAAATGGACTGGGATTGCCCATTTTGAATCAGACAGTCATATGGTTTATAATGCTGTGAATTACAAATTGAAGAGGAATGGTGTCACATTCATCATCAAAAAGGACATCTCAAGATCAGTGTTGAAGTATAGTGATGTCTGTGACAGGATAATATCAATACACCTACAAAGAAGACTAGTTAATACCAGTCACTCAGATTTACGTATCAACCACAAAAGCCAGTGATGCTAAAACTGAAGAATCCTACCAACTACTTCACTCTGAAATTAATCAAGATGTATTAACAATTACTGGTGATTGGAATGCAAAGGTTAGAAACAAAGAGGAATGACTAGTAGTTGGAAAACATGACATTGGTGATAGAAATAGGGCCTTGGTGATAGAAATTATGCTCGAAAACCCATGACAGAATTTTGCAAGACGAATGATTTATTACATGCAAATACCTTTTAGAAACAACATAAAAGTAGACTATACACATGGACCTCACACAGTAATCAAATTGACATCTGTGGGAAGAGATGGTGGAAAAACTCAGTTATCAACAGCCAAAACAAGACCACTGTAGAACGGATCACCAATTACTCATATTCAAGTTTAGGTTGAAGCTGAAAAACTTTTAAAAGCCCATGAGAGTCAAAATATGACCTTTGACATGTTGTTGTTAGGTGCCATCGAGTTGGGACTGACTCATAGCGACCCTATGCACAGCAGAATGAAACAATGTCCGATCCTGGGCCAACCTCACTACTGTTGCCACACTTGAGTCCACCGATGCTGCCACCTGGCCAATCCATCTCATTGGGGGTCTTCCTCTTTTTCTCTGACCATCCATCTTCCCAAGCATGATATCCTTCTCTAGCAACTGTTTCCTCCTGACAATATGTCCAAAGTATGAGAGACAAAGTTTGGCCATTTTGGTCTCTAAGGAGCACTCTGGCAGCACTTATTCCAAAATGGATCTATTGGTTCTTTTGACAGTCCATGGCACTTTTAGTATTCTCCACCAACACCATAACTCAAAAGCATCAATTCTTCTATGATCTTCCTTGTTCACTGTTCAGATTTCACATACATATGAGGTTATTAAAAATACCATGGCTTGGGTCAGGCACACCTTAGTCCTCAAGCTGACATCTTTGTTCTTCAACACTTTAAAAAGTTCCTGTGCAGCAGATTTGCCTAATGCACTACGTTGTCTGATCGCTTGACTGCTGCTTCTGTGAGAGTTGATAGTTGATTCAAGAAGAATGAAGTCCTTGACAACTTCAATCTTTTCTCCGTTGATAAGAATGTTGTTTATTGGTCCAGTGGTGAGGATTTTTGTTTTCTTGACATTGAAATGTAATCCATAATGAAGGCTGTGCTCTTTGATCTTCATCAGTAAATGTTTTAAGTCCGCATAACTTTTCTATTATCTTTAATTTCCATTTTTATTAATTTTTTGAAGTACCCTTGTATATCAGTCATTTTTGACAGCTCTTATAGGAGCCACCAAAAAGGAAGAACACTTTCAGCATTTCTCAAGTTAGGGTAACTGAAAAAATAATTCAAATCTCGACTTTCGTTATGGAAGGATTCTTTGGGCAAATTATTGAATGATGCAAAAAGCATCATGGAATGAATACAGAGTCACTGTACCAAAAGGAAATGGTTCATGTTCAACCATTTCAAGAGGTAACATATGATCAAAAGCCAGTGATACTGAAGGAAGAAGTCCAAGGTGCATGAAGAAATTGGCAAAGAACAAGGCACCAGGAATTGATGAAATAAAGATTGAAATCTTTCAAGAAAGTGAGGCGGCACAGGAGGCACTCATCTATGCCAAGAAATTTGGAAGATAACAAACTGGCCAACTGATTGGAAGAGATCCGTATTTGTGCCTATTCCAAGGAGAGGTGACCCAATGGAATGCAGAAATCATTTGACAATGTCTTTAGTATACCATGCAAGTAAAGTTTTACTAAAGGTAATACAGAAACAGCTACAAGCATACATTGACAGAGAACTTCCAGAGGTTCAAGCCAGATTCAGAAGAGGACATGGAATGAGGGATATCATTGTTGATGTACAATGGATCTTGGCTGAAAGCCGAGAATATCAGAAAGATGTTACCTGTGCTTTATTGACTATGCAAAGGTTTTCGATTGTGTGGATCATGACCAGCTATGGACAACACTGCAAAATATGAGTATTCCAGAACAATTAATTGTGCTGATGAGGAATATGTACATGGACTAAGAGGCAATTGTTCGAACAGAACATGGGAACACTGAATGGTTTAAAATTAAGGTGTGCGACAGGGTTGTATTCTTTCACCGTACTTATTCAACTTGTATGCTGAGCAAACAATCCAAGAAGCTGGGTTATATGAAGAAAAATGTGGCATCAGGATTGGCGGAAGACTCATTAACAACCTGTGGTATGCAGAAACCTTGCTTGCTGAAAGTGAAGATTTAAAATATTTACTGATGAAGATCAAAGACTACAGTCTTCGGAATGGATTGCATCTCAGTGTAAAGAAAACAAAAATCCTTACCACTGGACCAATAAAAAAAACATTTTTATCAATGGAGAAGATTGAGGTTGTCAAGGACTTTATTCTTCTTGGATCAACTATCAACACTCATGGAAGCAGCAGTCAAGAAATCAAATGACATATTGCATTAAGCAAATCTGCTGCACAAGACTTTTTAAAAAGTATTGAAGAGCAAAGATGTCCCCAAGCCATGGTATTTTTAGTAACCTCATATGCATGTGAAAGCTGGAAAGTGAATAAAGATGACCATAGAATTGATGCTTTTGAGTTATGGTGTTGGAGGAGAATACTAAAAGTGTCATGGACTGCCAAAAGAACCAACAGATCTGTGTTGGAAGAAGTGCAGTCAAAGTGCTCTTGGAGGCCACGATGGCCAATCTTAGTCTCTCATACTTTGGACATATTGTCAGGAGGGAGCAGTCGCTGGAGAAGGATATCATGTTTGGTAAGATGGAGGGTCAGAGGAAAAGAGGAAGACCCCCAGTGAGATGGATTGGCTAAGTGGCAGCATCCATGGGCTCAAGCATGGCAACAATAGTGAGGTTGGCCCAGGATCGGGCAGTGTTTCAATGTGCTGTGCATTAGGTCGCTGAGTCTGTACAGACTCGATGGCACCTAACAATAGGAGCTACCTGGTATATTAGTGCCAAAGACCTGTTATTAATGTTGATATTGGGCATGTTCTCTTTTTTAACCTGTCTCCTCAGAATTTCTGAACCCCTCAAATTTTTAATCTCTGATGTGAAAGAAATAAATGTATCTTTCATATTCAAGAGACTAAGGCTCAAAATTAAACCAAGACTGTTTTATAAAGTCTAAATACCTAAATACATGGAAAATGTTATGTATATTCGCTTTTACTGCATTATTTTATTACCAATCTAAATCAGTATATCACACTGATTAAGAAAATCAACTCTGAAAACTGTCTCCCAACAAGAATGAATCCTTGAAAAATATTTTGCTCAAACTCCCAAACAAAATGTGTTCTTCCTATACTAATCACTTAAAATAGTATGAGGAAAATAATTTTCCCTTTTCCATTCTTCTGTCTTCAAGTAATAATCCCTACTACCACCACTCACTGCCATTGGTTAGTAGCCCAGTATGTGCTTATCCCACAGCACCACTAAGGCTTCTTTACCTAAAACTCAATCCCATCAAGTCTAATCGGACTCCTAAAAACCCTATGTAGTGCTTTAAGAGACAATATCTTTGTGGAAACAGAATGGGAGTGGCTGGTGGGTTTGAATCACCGGCCTTGTAATTAGTGGTCCATTGCTTATCTTAAAATTTCACCATAGGTATGGCATTTTAAAAGGATCGTGTGTTTGTCCCATTCATGAAAATGTGTCCTGTCTACTTTTCAGGTGCAAAAAAGCTACTAAACAATAGCTGCAATAAGGACATATGTCACTTTTAATTCAAACATAGATAAAATCTACCTAGCAAAGATTATTGTTAAGTGCCATAGAGTCAGTTCTGACACAGTGACCCTGTAACAGGGTTTCTGAGGAGAGACTGGTAAGTTTTAACCACTGACCTTATGGTCCACAGTCAAGTGCTTATCCTGCAGCACCACACCAGGACAAAGATAGCCAGGCCTTACTCATTCCTCACCCTTGTGTTTTTCATAGTAGTTGTAGCCTAAACGTATGTTTACCTACATGGAATTTCTTGTTAAGTGCCATAGAGTCAATTCCGACTCATAGTGACTGTACAGGGTTTCCGAGGAGCACCTGGTGAGTTCAAACCCTGACCTTGCAGTTCAAACATACTCTAGAAGTCCAGTGTGTTATCCAGTAAGCAATGCTATATTACAGGGTGGCAGAACATTTGTTCAGTGTAATTGGCCACTTTTCTTCTATAGTACGTAGCACATTTTCCTGTTTTTAGATTTTTGTATAAAAACAAGAATTTCTTCTGCGTAAAGTAATCTAACATTTATATTTTATTGTTTAGTAGATGCCTCTTTTCGCCTATTATAGAATACCAGATAGAGCCAACATCCAATATTTATGCCCCGGAAGTGTTTCAGCTGTCAAATGCTGAATTTTCTACTTATTTTCAAAAACAATTTCATCTTGAATCTAGTCAATGAGAGGAAGTTGAGACTCATTTTTTAACTTTCTTTTGACAGATACTGATCAATTAAAAGAAAAGATAAAAGATTTGGAGACACAACTCACAGCTTCAGATTTAGAAAAGCAGCAATTGAAGGTAATTATTCAGTTACATTGAAGAACTGTGAATATTTTGGGAAAAATAGCTGTTGGAAACTTTTTTATCATCACCAACTTTGAGTGTTAAGAATATACTAAAAATTTCTCTAATTAAATTTTACTTAAAATAGTTGATCGTGACATTACAAAGTTCATTCTCTTGTATAGAGGAGGGTCACTAGGAGTAAGAGACCGGCTTGATGGGACCTAATATGTTAAAAGTATTATCCAAATGCTACAAAAGATGCAGACCAAACATATAGAAAAGATAAAATAGATTTATTTTTGTCACAAAAATTAGTTCATTGTTTAATATCTTCTTTTGGATTTTAAGTTTGGGTTCATATTGTTATTAGTACTTTTTAAATTTCTTGAAAAGTATTTTTTCATACTGCTTTTAATGACTATGTAAATAGAACAAAAGGACTTTAATGACAGAATTAGCTAGAAATCACTAGTCTTTAAACCTGAAATTGTCCCTTTACTCATATACCTCAATTATACTTAAGACAGAAACCCTGGACTGCCCTATTTATAAAAACGTTTATAAAGTAACCATTATCCATGAAAAGCATACATTTGTAAATAAAATGTAAATGAAGCTCCGTCATAATTTATAAAAATTGACAAATTTTAGAGTATAATATAATTTTTAAAACAATATGATTTTAGGGCTAACAAATCAGTGAAATCATATTGTTGTTAAGTGCTGTCAAGTCATATTAACAGTATCTTAAATGCTTCTGCATTTAAAACTATATTTGATTATATTCAGGTTGCTCTGGCTCTCGTGTTTCTAATTAAACCTTTCTAGTTAAAACCTAGAAAATGTGTTATATTGTGTGTACTTTATTAAAGATAATGTTTCTATTAGGAACAAATAAGAAAGCTGAAGAAAGAACTGGAAAACTTTGATCCTTCATTTTTTGAAGAAATTGAAGATCTGAAGTATAATTATAAGGAAGAGGTAAAAAAAAATATTCTCTTAGAAGAGAAATTAAAAAAACTTTCTGAACAGTTTGGAGTTGAATTAACTAGTCTTACTGATGCTTCTGAACAGTTTGAAGATGAAGAAGAAAGTCCTGATAATTTTCCCATTTATTAATGGCCATCCACAATTATAATAGATGTAAAGTTAACTATTAACTTTGAAAGTTAAAATTCCACCTAGAAGTTAAGCAAGTCTCTGAACTGCAGAATTTCCTTCTCCCTACCTTGTACCTTTGACCTAAATTATAGTTTTTAGTAAGTAAGATTATATGAAATTCTTAACTCATTAGCAAAGTAAATTTCTGAAGACTTAGAATTAAAAAATATGCAGTGAGCTATGGCGAACTACTATATATACAAAATGGTCCTATATTTTGAAAGATTATGAATGACATTTTAGTATTTCAGATTTTATGTTTTATATGTATATATATAAATATAAATATTTACTTATATGTGCTAAGACTCTTGAATTCCAAAATATATAGGCTGAGCCATGTTTTGTTAAATGTTTTTAAAGGTTAAATTGAGCTTAAACTGTGATTTTGAAAATAAATTATCTAAAATCATTGTCTTAATTGTTGTCTTTAAATGACTATTCCGTTCTAGTGGACACAATGCAGCCAGCCTTTGAACAAGCTTAAAAGCAATGTACACTTTTAAGTCAGAGCTTAAAAATCAATTGGTGATTTTGAATAAAACTTTGAGCAGAACATCTGCAACTGGAAACTTCATTTCTTTAAACCCGAAGACAGATTGTTATGTTTAACACTGAATAGGAACCGTGTTCTAGCTTCTTTACACCTTTTTATCATTCAGAATACTCAAGATTCAAGTGTAACAATACTAAAACTTATTTTAATTCTATTTCCATTTAAACATCAAGCATTATATCTTTAAGCCTACCAAATTTCTGATGATTTATTTTTGAAAAATAACTAAACAAGCATTTAGAATCAAAGACATAGTCATATTTGTTTAGGTCCATATTAATAACAACTGGTTTTGAATTCATGTAAGTGTCTGGAATTGGCCAATGTAAACCAAGGTGATGGCGATGTACCTGGAAAGAGAAAAAAGGTCCTAGTTAGACAACAGATACTGTCTAAATCCATCTACTTTGAGTTCCTATTATCTGACAGGCATGTAGTAAGTCTTTTCTCATCCTTTTTTTTTTTTTCCATAGCTGTTCTCCTTGACATACTATATATATACTTGTTTACCATCTATCTTCCCCATTATTATGTGAGCTTCAAGAAGACAGATTCTGTACTTCTAAGACCTGCAAACATTATCAGGTCTTACATGATTATGCAAACATAATCAGGGCTCTAAGTACAGAAACTAGCAGCTGAAAATCTGGGTGGTGAGACATTCCAACTAAGGAGCATATCATGTGATAGACCTAAGGTAGCACCATGAATAGTGTGGTTTTTGCTCTTACTGCAATTAGTTAAGTATGCTAAAGCATACACAAAGTAGGGATGTTTATGTGGGGGTGGAGGAATGGTTCTGCAGAGTAATGAAGGGCCAAATCATGAACAATGTTAATATCAATAAACGGTTTTAAGCAGTGACATGCCAGTCTCATTGTCCTGTGAAGAATAGGCAGGGCAGAAGGAAAGATACTGTTTAGAAAGATATGGTTTATTTACAGCCAGTTGGTTTGGAAGAAGTAGACATATTTTAATAGATCTGAATCCTTAAGAACTGATAATGCAATATGTCAGAAGCAATAAAAAAGGGGAAAATTTATATCCAAGCCTCTGGCTTAAGTGAATTATAGGAGTCCAGGGATTAGGTACAGTTTTGAAAATTCTAAGTTTCAAGTACCTAGTACGGCACTGTAGAATAAGCACAGGACTGCTAACTGAAAGGTCAACAGTTCAAATCTAACAGCCGCTCCTCAGAAGCTCTATACAGGGTCTCTATGAGTCAGAAACAACTAGATGGCACTTACCAACACCACCATGCTAAGTCAAACTGACAAGTACAGGAGACACAAATGTAAAGGGAAAAACTATAAAAGAATTCATTCAATATACATAAACTGTCACCTTGATATACTTTTTACTCAATGATGGTGGTGGTTGTGTGGAGCCTGTCCAACTCATAGCCACCCTGTAAATGATTTCCAAGGCTATAATTCTTTATGGGAGTAAAAAGCTGAATCTGACTCCAACAGAGCTGTTGATTATTTAAACACTGACCTTGTAGTGAGCAGACCAACTCAAAACCCTCTCTATACTACCAAGGTTCCGTCTTTTTGCTCAATGGAGTTAGGGTCAGGGATTTTTTTACGCAATAAAGTAAGTTTAGGAAATATGGTATTAAACTAAAGTTAAATTTTATAGGATCACTTAATAATACTAAAGTGCAACATGAATCTCGAAGAACAGGATTGTATAACAGAGGGTTTTCCAGAGAATTTTAATCATGCAACTCCAAATACCAAGGCACATCTCTAGAACCAGTCAGTGCCCCATAGAATGTGCATTTGAACAGTTTTTTTTATTTTTACAATTAAAGAATGGTGGCATATGTGATGATGAATTTAATGTCCTTACTATAAAGCACTATTTACTGCAATTATCATTCCAAGATAGCATTTTAATGCCATTTCTACATTGTTGTAGGAATATAAAACAACATATCATATCACAAGTGAGTTTCTGCCCTTACCTTGATTAAACAGCCATCGTTGCAATGCCATACAATTCCTTCAATTTTACCTTCACTGCAACCTTCAAACCAGGACAACAAATCATTGTGCTTCAGTGTAGGCAGATTTCTAACTTGAAATGCTCCATGTGGAATAAGAAGATGTAATGGATGCTTCTTGCTTCCTAACCCTAAGTGATAAAACTCGCCATTAATCAATCATACTTATTCAAAGAAAAAAATTCATTAGAGAAAATTTATATATCCAATGGAAAACCTAGTATCTTATATCCCATTAATTCCAAATTCTACCCTGTATACTCACACACCTGTGGGCCGAATCTAACCAAACTCCCGTTTTTTGAAATAAAGTTTAATGGCAACAAGGCCAACAACTATTCATTTACATACTGACATTCATTTACATTATTACACAGGCAAGGCCCAAAGTCTATAAATAGTTACAATTTGGCTTTCAACAGACAGTTTGCCCTCTCTTGCTCTATACCATCAGCCACATTCAACTACCACAGAATTTATGCCAAACAGTCCTTCCACACCTCTGATGACTTTCATAATCAGTATTTTAGCTTATTTTCACCTGCCTATCAATCAACTTATGGAATCCTTGTGTGGCCCTGTGGACAAATGCATCAGACTGCAAAGTCATTTGAACTGCAGGGTCAGTGGTTCAAGCTCACAAGGTGCTCCTTAGAAACCCTATATAAGGTCGCTATGGGTTAAGAATCAACTCAATGGCACTTAACAACAACAATCTACTGGAGATCTTGATAGGATTAGTGTTATTCAAACTTTAATATCCACTGTTGGGTCTTCTCATCTCCCGTCATCAACATATGCCTTAGCACTCTTAGTACTTATACTCTATTCACCTATTCACTGTGGTATATATTTTGGTGCTTACATATAATTTGTTCACACTGAAGATTTTTTTCTTTTTCATGAAGTGCTTATCGGTGTATCATGAAGTCCTTAATTTACTCCTGTTTTAATTAAGGCTAAACATACAACCATGAAAAAGCATGTTTTCAATCAACTTAGTCCACCTATATTTTAATAGCAATAAGTTACACATTATTTTCTGTACATAGTGCTGTCATGCAGTCACACAAAGTATGAGAAGCTAAAATCAGCCTTTTAGACTATTAGTAAGACTCATGCATAAATTTTTCCATAGAAAAAAATGAAGAGAAATGGCTTTAATCCTAGAAAATTATGTTGTCATTTCTTTATGTATTTTTATTTTTTTCAGTTGACATGGGCAAATTGTCTTTTAAATGAGAAATTACAGCTGAAAAAGAAAAAGTCTTTACTCACCATATGGGTTTCCATTGATATTTGTTCCTATAAGCTCCAATGTTTGTTCTAACAGATCTGATAGTGGTACTGCACTAATTTCCAAAAGTCCAGGATCATCAGGATGATGCTTCAATACCAGAGCGATTTCAAATTCGTAATTTACTACAGAGGAGTGCCAGCAATACTGTTTGTTGTTTTTGTCTACTGGTACCCAGCCTATCATTTAAAGAAAAACGGGCTTGTTACCGTTCTTCCTTTGGATTGAGACTACAGTTCATTTTTATTTTGTTGTAAATTTTCCATGTTTTCAATGTTGTATCACACTCAGATATCACTTTTAAAAGCAGCAAAATGTTAACAGTTTTACATCTTTATTTTGATCATAAAGGTTTATTTTTTTATTTTGTTGATAAATTAACCTATGGTTTGATTATTCATTACACAGCATCTAGCATGGCCTAACTAAAAACTTTGTTTTCTAGTAAGGGCATACTGGATACTGTACAATTTAAGCATCACTCTAAGACACGGAATTAAATCTTTTCATAGAATAAATTTCTCTCCTTCACGACAATGGATATTTGCAAGTAAGTATTCTACAACTGGTTGAACTGTCTCAGTATTTGTTGAACAATTCACTGATTCCACATCTAGTGAATGTTTTTATTACTCCTTTGTTCAGTCTTATCAGATTACGCTCCTTTACTGGAGGAATTCTTTCCAAAAATGAATGAAGACACACTGACACATATGGCATTGTGACCCCCATATGTTTAGTCATTACAAACACAAATTTACTAATTTCTTTGTGGAGTCTGCTAGCCTACAGTGAAACCCACTCCATTTTACCATAGTTTTGTTTATAAACTTAAATTTTGTCCTTCTGTATACCCCCTTAATTAACACCCTCATCTTCACATGGAATATAAGGCCTTTTAAAGTCTGAACCCATTATATGTCTCCAGTGTCAATTTTTATGATCTCCCTAAGATGTCATACAGCCTAAAATATTCCTGCCACAAGGAAGTTTAATGTGAAATTTCCTAAATGCACCATGTTCCCTTCTATTCCTGGGAGTTTGCCTAGTAGGTTTACCTGCCCTCTTCCTTACTAGCTAACTTTTTCATCCCTAAGTTCCAGTAGAAATATAAACTCTTTGAACCACCAGAGTTTGAACTAGAAATTCCTCTTCTCTCCCATTGTACCATCTTTCTTTTCAGTCTTTAAAGCATCAATTTCCCCTGATGTCTTTGAAGAATTCTTCAGTCTGAAATGGGCCAAACATGCACTCAAGATGCATTGATAATTACTGGTGATTGGAAAATGAAACCTAGAAACAAAGAGAAAGCGTCAAGAGTTGGAAAATATGGCCTTGGTGAAAGAAACGATGCTAGAGATCACATAACCGAGTTTTACAAGACCCAATGACTTACTTATTGCAAATACCTGTATACAACATAAGCAGCAACTATACATACACATGGACCTCATCAGGTAGAATACATAGGAGTCAAATTTACTATAACTGTAGGAAGCGACAGTGGAGACAGCTCAATGTTTTCAGCCAAAACTATGGAACAGACCATCAATTGGTCATATGGAAGTTCAGAATGAAGCTTAAGAAAATGAAAACAAGTCCACAAGAGCCAAAATATGACCTTGAATATATCCTACCTAAATTTAGAGGCCACCTAAAGAACAGATTCTCGAAGCACTAATGAGCAAAGGCCAGAAGAGGGCGGAATGACTTCAAGAACATTATTTTACATGAAAAAAAGGTAAAGATCATTAAAAAGACAAGAAACAAAGAAATGGCCAAATGGATGTCAGAAGAGACTCTAAAGATGGCTTTTGAGTATAGAGTGACAAAAGCAAATGGAATAAATGAAGTAAAAGAACTGAACAAACAATTTCAAATGGCAGTTTATTATAATGAAATGTAGAAAGTCCTGGAGTTAGTAAACTGAAAGGAAAGAACACACATTTCTCATGCTGAAAAACTGAAGGGAAAGTTCAAACTTCAGGATACAATATTAAAGGATTCCATGGGCAACATGGACTCCTGGTGTAGTGCTGTTGGATCGGCACTGGACTGCCGACCACAAGGGCCTCAGTTCAAATCGACCAGCTGCTCCTTGGAAACCCTATAAAGAGTTGCTAAAAGTTGGAATCGACCTGACGGCACTTGACAACAATGGGTAAAATACTGAATGTAGCAGAAAGCATTAAAATAAAATGGAAAGAATACAATCACTGCAAAAAGAATTGGTTGAAGGTCAATCATTTCAAGAGTTATTACATAATCATGAACCAGTGGTATTGAAGGAATAAGTCTAAGTAGCACTGAAGATATGGGTGAAAACAAGGCTCCAGGAATTAATGAACTACTAATTGAAATGTTTAAACAAATTGATGCAGCACTGGAGGCACTCACCAGTGGTATGCCAAGAAATGTGGAACAGAGTTACTTGGCAAACTGATTGGAAGAGATCCACACTTGTGCCAATTCCAAAGACAGGTGACACAACAGAATGTGGAAATCTAACAATATCAATATCACATGCAAATAAAATTTTACTAAAGATAATTAAAACCTGATTGCAGTAGTATATCAACAGGCAGCTGCCAGAAATTCAAGCTAATTCAGAAGGACATGGAACAAAGGCTAGCACTGCAGGCATCACATAGAGTTTGGCTGACAGCAGAGACTATCAGAATATTAGTTGTGCTTTATTGACTATGCAAAGGCATTCAACTGTGTGGATCCTAACAAATTATGGATAACACAGAAAAGAAGAGGAATTCCAGTACATTTAGTTATATTCCCGAGGAATCTGTATATGGACCATGAGATAGTCATTTGTTTAAACAGAGTTAAGGGGATATTAAATGGTTTAAAATGAAGAAAAATATGCCAACGTTGTATCCATTCACAATACTTATTCAATCTGTACACTGAGCAAACAATGTGAGAGGCTGAATTATATGAAGAAGTGTGGCATCATGATGGGAGAAAGACTCATTAACAACCTGTAACATGCAAATTACACAACTTGTTTTCTGGAAGCAAAGATGACTTGAAATACTTACTAATGAAGATCAAAGACTAGTCTTCAGTATGGATTGCACCTCAATGTAATGAATATGAAAATTTTCACAACTGGACCAATAAATAGTATCTTGACAAACAAAGAAGATATTATGTTTTAAAAACTTCATTTTGCTTGTATCTACAATGGAAGCAGCAATCAATGAAAAGCGGCATTGCATTAGGCAAATCTTCCGCAAAAGACCTCTTTAAAGTCTTAAAGACGAAGGTATCACTTTGAAGACTGCAGTGCCCCTAACCCAAGTCAAAGTATTTTCAATCGCTTCAGATGCATGTGAAAGCTGGACAATAAGACCACAGAAAAAACAATGCATTTGAATTATGGTGTTGGTGAAGAATACTGAAAGTACCATGGACTGCCAGAAGAACAAATAAATCTGTCACCTTGGTAGCCAGGATAGTGCAAGTTTATCTCGCATACTTTGCACATGTTGTCAAGAAGGACCAGTCCTTGGAGACGGACATGATGCTTGGAAGGCTTAGTGAAAAAGAGGAAGGACCCCCCCCCACCCCCACCAAAACGAGATGGAGTGACAGAGGGGCAGGAACAATGGGCTCAAACCAAGCCAATGTGAGAATTTCATAGGACCAGACAGTGTCTTGTTCTGTTGCTCTCAGTCAGAACTGACTCCAAGGCACCTAGCCACAACCTATCAGCATACATTTCCAAAAAACTTTCCATCCCTAGATAAACTACTGCAAGATAATGTTTTCTACTCATTTCGCTAAGATAGTCTTCTGGCATCATTGCAAAAACAGCTAAATCAAAACCCAAAAGCATTGATATCAAGTCAAATCGGACTCAGCAATCCTATAGGACACTGTAGAACTTCCCCATCTATTTCTAGGACTGAAAATATTTTTGGAAGTAGAATGCCAGATCTTTCCTGGGGAACAACTCAAAAGTTATAACCACTGAACTTCTGGTGAGCAGCCAAGTACTTAACCACTGGCGCCAGCAAGGTTCCTCTTGCTATGGGTTGATGCGCTGGACTGCAAGGTTGGTTTGAACCACAAGGTCGGTGGTTCAAGCTCACTAGGGTCGCTAAGGGTCAGAACCGACTCGACGGCACTTAACAACAACAACAACATATTTTCCTCACAAGATACAGACTCTGACATCTCAGTCCAGACTAGATCAATCTATCCCACTAAGGACCTTAGGGATAGACCCAATAAATATGTTATTAATTTTCACACACCACACAGATGGTAAAATATTCATCTTAAAAAGGATTATAAGCCTAAAAATCATTCTTAATAAATGTTTCAGAAATTCTGTATTATTTATTGCCTATGGAGTCCTGGTGTGGCACTGTGGGTTAATGCACTGGACAGCAAGGTCAGTTTGAATCACAACATGAGCAGTGCAAGCTCACCAGCCACTCCTTGGAAACCTTATACAGATCGCTATGAGTTAGAACCAACTCAACAGCACTTAACAACAACATTAGAGATAAATTATATTAAAAGAACCAAATAAAATTACACTTTAATTGAATAGACCACTTGTTCTTCAGCATTGCCGAAGTGACAGCTTACCAGGAATGTGGCCGTTTTCATCAGGAACTGGTTTCCCATTTAACTGGTCAATTTCCTTCGCTGGTACCCAGCACTCTGGAACAGGTTTGAAGTCTTCCTCAACATTCCAAAAAAATTCTAAAATAATTAGATAAGCTTTTACTTGGCAATAGTTTAAACCATACATAAAATGTCAAACTAAAGTAGTAGGCAATGAACTCCTTAACAAGTATCATATAATTATTCTCCATGTATTATCAAGCCACATGACTGTATTACAGGTTAAAATACTGACACTTTGTATTTTTTATTTAGAACACAACACCACTTGTACAAAAAGAGCTTCAAAAAGTTTGCATAAAAATGGAATGAGTATTAATAGAATTTTGTACACTAACTTTTTTAAACCCCCTTGTATATAAATCATAAATATACCAAGTAAAAAAATATTGATACAAAATCACAGAAACATTAAAAAAAAAAAAAAAAAAAAAAACCAATCAGAATGTGAGCTTATTACTTCTCAGCAGATTCACCATTTAGGGCTATACACTTCTGAAGGTGGTGTTGCATTCCCTCTAACCCTTCCCTGAAGAATTCTGCGCTCTTCTATTTACACCATGTCAAAGGCAGTTTTGACATCCTTGAGGAACTCAAATCTTACTCATTTCCAATGTTCCATGAGTTTGGGGAACAAAGTACAAGGTAAAGTCAGGGCTGTAAGGTGGATGGGTAAGTTTCCCAACAAAATTCTTACAGAACAGCTTTTGCTACCCTGGAAGAATAACACTGTCGTGATGAAAAGAAAAAAAAAACCTCTCAGCATAACATTTTGCTGGCCTTTTTCTCACTAGTACAACTTTCAATTTTCTTCAGACTTTATCACAGTAAGCCCAATGACTGCTCTGTGTCCTTGAGAAAATCGATCAAGATTTCCCCTTTGTAGTCCCCCAAAACAAGTCACAAAAACATTCTCTCACTTCTCTGCCTTGAATTTAATTAGTCCAGCAGATCTCCTTGGAAGACACTGTTTTGATCAGACATTTTTACTGAAGGAACTCTAACTAGACTAAGTGTATGAGTGGGTTTCAAAAAAACTCATGGAAAAATGGAAATGAAAAATCATGGAATTTTCCCACAACTTTTTGATATCCTCTCATTTTATTACTGAGAAAACTTGTCTGTAGCCATTCACTGATCAGACATTTTAAAACACGTTTTGTTTGGAATCAAGCCATGCATGTATAAATTGGAACCCTAGTAACAACACTTGACTTGCCTTCATGCATAAGTGAATATAGATATTAACTATATGATGGGGGCTTTAAAAAATCTGTGGAAAATGGAACTGAGATATAATGGAAGCTTTCCATGAAGTTTTTGGAGCTCCTTTGTTTATAATATTTAGAGGCAAATGAATGTGTTAATATACTAGTCCTATTTCAATATGTGTATTTGATTATAAAGTTATATATAACACCCTTAAATGGCAGACTGAAAATCAAAACGTGATATAATATGCATCTATTTCTGTATTTTCATTAGATTGACTCAAACTATAATGAAAAGTCACAGAAATATTGGAAAACATTTTAATGTTTCAAGAATATGCTTTCAAAAACAAACAAAAGAATATGCTTTCATAAATAGTCAACTACTGTTTTTCCCCAAAAGGTTCAAATTATAAATACAATGTATAAAATACTACATAAGCTTTATATTTTAGCTCTTTAAATTAAATAAAGGGGGAGGGGGTTACACCAACCTTTTGAATATTCCTTTGAATGTAGAAATTTTTTAAATCTTTTCTCAGCTTGTTTGTTGGGTTTTCTATCAAGCCGAGCCCAAAGGTATGGCTGACCTACAATAAATAAAAACAACAGAAAGAAAAGAAAGGAGAAGAGGCACACAATAAAAATTATATTCAAAGACATTTCAAACTCAAATTTTCCAAAAAATTAAGTGTCATCTTCTGTAAGAGTGCAGTCTAATGACAAACCCTAATGTTACCTGATGCTACAAGAAGACTTACTTCTTTGGTTAAATAAGAATAGGAATGAGGTAAAAAGTAACTGTTAGATCTTTTCATAGCAGCAAGTCAGACTCACATTTAAGTGTTTGTAAGAAACTGAGGCTACCTCTCTAACTGGAAACATAATCTGATAATTCCATTGACAGGAACTTTTAAAGTAGAAGGGAATTAAAAAAGATTCTAGAATAATTCCATTACCTACTAATTCAATTTTTCCATGAATTTTTTGAAGCCCCGTCATATGTTAAAATAAGATCCTGCCAATGGGATTAGAATGACACTGAACTGAGTGGAACTCTGGGAACAAATCAAACTTTAGAGCTGCACAAGATCAGGGTCTCCAGGCAGTTCAGAGGCCTGGTGTGGGGTTGGAGGACAGGTACTGACTGCTAACTGCAAGGTGGCTGGTTCACAACCACCAGTCCCTCCCTGGAAATCCTATACAGGGAGCTATGCATTGGGACCAACTCAACGGCACTTCACAACAAATCCCGTTCAGTCTCTTATTAACAATGTGGTCTTGTACAAATTTATGTTCTCTGAACCTTGATTTCCTCATCTATGAAACAAAGACGCTTAGTGCGCAAATTAGAGATAATTTATATAATGTATTTACCATACTGCATGGCATGGCATTACCATCCTTCCCACCCCAAAATATACAATGATTAAGAAAAAAGAGGTTTAACAATTTTAACTTATTTTGCAGTTATATTTAAATCTTATCCAAGGGTTTATGAAAAACAAATACAAAAATGTCAGATTTATAAGGTTTGTAAAGTTGTTTTAGAATAAATAGTATTTATTTTACCTTTGTAGGCAGTAATGTAACAACATGTCCCATCCACTTTTTCTGTTGGAATTGCACTGTATATATCCGCAGCTAATGCCTTGTGATTTATAGTTTCAGTTGCCAAAACTTTAAATGGCTTAAAAAAAAGAGAAAACTGGTTTAAGACCAAACAGCCTTTATGTCTTTATACAACATGCTCTCACCTGGACTCTTATTAATTTTATTAGTTTTAAGAGATGATCTCCCATTCTTCCTGATGGACAATTTAAAAAACTGCTGAAGTTCTCCTTAATCACCCTCTTCCTTCTATGCTAATCTAGCAATACTTATTTTTTTCACAGCTTTGTATTATTTACAAACAACAGAAGAATACAAGAGTGCTTCAGGATCAGCCTGATACCAGGTACCATGCCTTTAGACAGCACTGCATCTCTAACACAGACCAAGCATGCTGCAGAGCTTTAGAATGTTGAGTCATCTGCTAAACAATTATTAACAATATGCCTGCTATGGGTAAAGCATTGTTTTTGGTATTGGGAAGAGAGATGAATGAGAAAGTACCTGTCTACGTGGAACTCGGATTTTAGTAAAGACATTAGCAAAAGGCAAAATTCAATGTGTGAACCAAGAAGAAAAATGGGATAGAGAGCAAGGTGGCATATGTTTTAGATATGGGGTCAGGAACACCCTCTCGAAGAAGCTAACACTGAGCAGATTTGAAATGAAGGAATGGGCCACGTAAATATCTGAACAAAAAATGTGAAAGTTAGGAAGCTGCTTGATGTTTTAAACAGAGTGGGGATATACTTCAGTATTTAGTCCCATTCTGGAATATTTGGGAGATTTAGCCCCAATTTATGACCTTAGTATCAGTGGATTATCGATCATCCTTTGATGGGTGGGTCAAGTACCAGATGTATCTTTCTTCACACATCAGAAGATTATTCTAAGGAGCTCTTTCTAAGGAGCCTTGATAATGTAGTGGATTTCTCATTGTGCTGCTAACCACAAGATCAGTAGCTCAAATTCGCCAGCTGCTCTGCAGGGCAAAGATGAGGTTTTCTGCTCCCTGGTGTGGTGCTGTGGATTAATGTGCAGGCCTGCAAAGTTAGGTTTGAACTGCAAGGTTGGTGGTTCAAGCTCACCAGCTGCTCCTTGGAAACCCTATACAGGATAGCGATGGGTCGGGACTGACTCAACAGCACTTAACAACAACAACAACAACATATAAAGTTGAGAACCACAGCTAGAGTGAACCACTATTACTAGATGAGACTGTATAACATGAATTTTTTGTTAAGTGCTGTCAAGTTGTTTCCAAGGTTACACTAGGACTACTCAATTTGTTAAGACTTAAAAAAAAAAAACACATGATTGTGAGGTTTTTGACTGAGGAAGAATGTGAGATGATCATTCTTAATGACAAGTAAGACTACTTAGGTAACAAGTGATCACAGTAGAAAGAATGAAAAGAGCAGGGATTAAAAACAGGAATGAAACGACTTTGAGGTTAATTCCACAAATAATTCTCCAGTCCTGAGAATACAGAGATATCAAGACAGTCTGCCTTCCAGGTCTTTTAATCAGGTAGACACAGAAGTTGGTGCCTTGATAGATGAGTTGTTGTTGTTGTTGTTAAGTGCCGTCCAGTTGGTTCCAACCCATAGCAACCCTGAACAGGGTTTCCGAGGCTACGAATGTTTAAGGGAGCAGAAAGCCCCATCTTTCTCCCACGGAGCAGCTGGTAGTTTCGAACTGCTGACCTTGCGGTTCGAAACCTGATTAGTAACCACTAAGCTACCAGAGCTCCTTTGATAGATGAGTAGGTTTCAAAAAAAAAAAAAAAAAAAGTTAGAATGCTTAAGACCCGACTAATTCCATTTTTCCGAGGACTTGTATTTGATGATGTAAAATGGACACGTTAGTTTTGTACAATCATCGGGAATATCCAACTGATAACTGGGGATTCTGCTGATCAAAGACTTTTTACACATACTAAAGAATTATCTTCTTTAGAAAACCAAAAGGGAAGAACACGGTCAGTATTTATCAAGCTGGGGGAACTGAAGAAAAAATTCAAGCCTCGACTTTCG